GGATTGTAAGGTTTTTTTAAAGGTCTGTGTAATGTTGAGTTTGGGGCTGGCCACATGTTATAAAAGAGACAAAATATCATATTATTTCCTACCCCCTGTTCACAGCTTTTCCTCCAAGTATACTCGTTTGAACCTTCATCTCATCTTAAATGAGGTCTTGCGAATCGAACCCCAGGTTCCCCAGGGTTGCTGTTCCTCCTTTCCTTCCACCAGCGACCTGCTCTAGTGTTAGCACCCCAGAATCGGTGCCATACAGCATCACGCACGATGCCTTTGGATTTGCAGCTCCCTTCTACGTTGTCTTATTTGGTCTTGAGAACAGCTTTGTGAGGAAGGTAGAACAGCTGCTATGATATTTATTTTTCTTTACTTGTTTCTCAGCTTTAAAAAAAATAGTTTCAGAGAATAAAAAAGACAAGTGATAGTTCTCAAGTCACAGAACTGCCTAGAAGCGGAGACTTGCGGGAACAGAGCTGTGGCTGGGTCTTTTGCTTCCACAAAGCCAGACCTGAGCTGGTGAAGGGAGTTAGCCCATCCTCTTGCATTCAGTGCTTAAAAGGCCAAAAAAGAAAAAAAAAGAAAAAAAGAAAAGGTTTGGAGAATTTGCTAAGCTGATAAAGATGTAAGAGCTGGGAGCGCAGCCCAGCAGAGCAGTGGAGATTTGGCAAATGGAGAGTTGGTGGATTCTTTTTTAAAAGTAGCTTCAAGACGCCAGCATCAGCTTGCAGTCCTGTGAGCTCTCTTCCTGTGCCACTGAAATATCATCGGTAATAGGACAAAGATGGGAGCACACACCTAACGAACGCTGAACCAGCAGCCTGCAGTTCGGCCCTCAGTGGAGATGCTGGGTTGAAAGAGCTGCTTGCCACAGCTCCCATGTAAACAGGTGCCACAGATGACACCAAGAGCATCCCTAAGTGCTGAGGAGCCAGGAGCCGCTGTGTGAGTCAGCGCTCGGCTCGTTCGGGCACAGTAGCCCCAGCTCTTGCTCGCCACCAGATCTGTTCCTGCTTTCTGACCCAGTGGTTTTCGGACCCAGTTGTAGGCAGCTGTACTGAGGAGCGGGTAGCGAGTGGCTACTGATGCATTTTGGTGACTGTCTGGAAGTATCAGAGTTGATGAAGCTAAATCTGTTTGGTCATCATGAAATTAGGGGTCTTCTCAATGGGTCTTCTGATTTACTTTTTTTTTTTTTTTT